CCGAGGCCCGGGTCGCAGCCCGCGGACTCCGGCCCTACCAGGCCCAGTCCTGCCCGGCCGACCCCGGCGGGCGGCGGGCCCCGATCACTCACCGGCTAGCAGGGCCGTCCGGAGGCTGAGGCCTGGGGAGAAAGAGGGGCGGGCCCGCCAGGACAGCCCCGCCCACACGAGCACAGCAGGGACCTATCGGCGTCCGCTGCGGCAAGTAACGGCCCCGCCCATGGGGGGACGCGGCCGCCAATCAAGAAGAGCGGCTGGAGGGTGGAGCCAATCAGAAGTTGTCCGAGCGTGCCAGCCGTGGGAAAAGAAGGGAGCCGGAGCTTAGGGTTAGGCGGCGCGGCCGTGGGCGGACCGATCAGGGCCTGACGGGCAGGGGGTGCCGCCACTGGCAAGGCGCAGGGGCGGCCGGCGGCGAGAGGCCCAAAGGGCCGGGGTGAATGGGCCGCTTTGTACGAGGGGCATCAATGGGGGCCTTTGTGAGGACCGGCGTGGGGGGAGGAGGGGCGAAGGGAGGCCGGAATGCCTGGGTCCCCTGGGAGCCGGCTGACAGAAGAGATGGAAGAGAGAATTCACTTTTGTGGAACTGCGACCGCGTACCAGGCTCTCCCCCTCCGGGAAGTGTGGGCGATACCATCAGTAATAATACTGGTCATTATGGAGTGACTGGTGTAAGCCAGCAGCTGGACTAAAGGCCTCACCTGCACGAGCTCATTTAGCCTCACTACTATCCCTTGGAATTGGTGCTCTTGAGATCGTCACCATTCAGATGAAGTAAACCCAAGTTGAGAAAGGCCAAGTTAATTGCTTAAAAGTCCTAGGATGGGGCCCTCCCCGGTGGCGCAGCGGGTTAAAGCACAGCACTGAGAATCTAAAGCCGCTTCCGCATGAGTTCGATTCCCGCCTGCCCCGGAAGGGACCACATGGCGCGGCAGACCTCTCCTGACCCGCCCGCTGCTCCCCTCAGCAGTGTACTTCGTCGATCTGCCTGTTCTGTTCCCCACTCTGTCTCTGGTGAAGCCTCTCGCCGCTCCTGAACCTCTGGCCTATACCCCAGTTCTGTATGCACAAATAAATAAATCTTAAAAAAAAAAAAGTCCTAGGATGGCTAGTGGCAGAGCAGAGAGCAGGGTCCAGCGTAATCGCCATGCCAGGCCCAAAGGTAGGTTAAGACCTCCCAACTTACTGATGGGGAAAATGAAGCCCTGGAGAGGCAGGAGGCTCTCCAAGGGGGCAGGGATGGAGGCTGTGAGTAGAAAACTTAGGATGAAGGCATCACAAGAAACCAGAGGTGGATAGATGTGATGAACATAGATGATAAAGAAATGAAAAATCCTGGGTACCGACTGCTATAGACGTATCAGGCCGCTATAAAAAGTAGCTGAAGGTGCCAACCAGAGGTGGGGATTTGGAGGTGGAGGCCATTGTAGATAATCCCGGCTCCTACATACCTACCTAGTCACACCCTAGCAGTTAATCTAACAACAGAAGCTATTCCAAAAAAGCATGGGCTCTCCCAAAAAGAAGAGCTCTGTATCAGCACGATCTCTGCCCTGGGGAGAGGCAGCTCTCCTGCCCTCCTGTGTCTGTCTCCTCTTCTTCTTTCCTGGCCTCTTAAATATAATACACATGTTCTTTTGCGTATAAATAAATGTGTCTGCTCCGTGGGGAAACTTGCCATGTGCTTCTGAAAGGGGAGTTCTGAGAAAACTCTTCCCAGGGGTAACCCAAGGACCCCCTCTATGAAAGCAGCATCTCTCCCAAATGACATCATTACCTCTGTCCACAGCTAGCTTGCTGTAGACCCCACATCATTGATCTTTGAGCTGCACCCCAGGAGGGTGACCACCTGTGGTGGGTCAGAGGGCTACCTCAAGCCAGGCCTATGAGGTTGGCACTGTCATTATATTAGGACATAGTATGTCCTGAATGAACATCCACTCCACCCACTCTCTTTCTCACCTCCACGCCAGAGAGCCCCCGGCAACCGGGACTACAACTCCCAGCATGCCAGAGACTGGACAGAGCACGTGATTTCTCGGAACGGGGGCTGCTGGGAACTTAGGGCGGAGCTTAGCGGCCATGCTTGGCTAGTGCCCCGCTTCGTGTGGGGGTGCTTGCGGGGGTTGGGTCCTGCCTGCCTTCGGCGAGCGCGGTCCGCCCGGCGCCAAGGTAGGACACATTCATCAGCTATACTCTTTATACTGCTCTCCCTCTGTACCCCTGTCTTTCATTTCCCTGTAACTAAACCTTTTATCAACTTTTCTCTGTGTGCCTGCCCTCGGGCCTCGGGTCTTGCCCTGAGTTTTCCTTAGCGCGGTGAGGACTCACCCCAGGCCACCCTGCTTCCCTTTGGGGTTTTCCTGTACCCCAAGGGCTTCCGCGGTGGAAAGGTGGCTTGCGTTTGAGGCCTGCCCGTGTGCACCTGCCAGGGCGTCCTCGCGCCTGAGAGGCTGGCACTAGTTAGCCCACTTTCTCGACCCACTGCGTGCCCCGGGGCTCACGGCAGGGCTGGTGGCAGAGTCGCCATGGTCAGAACCTCTGAGTCAGTGCTTCACCAGGACGGGGGCCACGGCCCTGTGCCTACCCAGAGATTCCTTGGGAGCACCCCCACTCATGTCTGTTGTACGGTTACTTCACTGGATCTGCTCAGTAATTGATATTTTTATTATCCCCTTTAGGCTGCTAGAAATCTGGGGTTCAGAGGAAGGCCGCATGCCTGAGAGCCCCAAGAAAGTGCCTGGACTGGGACACCACAGAGCTTTCAGCTGGAAGGGAAGGTGGGCTGTAATCGGCCTGGTGACCGGTGACGTCATCAACTCCAGGGCATGTTAAATCTACCTGGCAACCAGTGATGTCATCATTTCCCACGGGCATCACATCCAGGTTAGTAGCAACTTCATTGATTCTACAGGGTATTGATGACATCACCAAATGATGTAATGAACTTCTGTTCGCTGAGAGTGTGCCACGAACTGGATGCCTATGCCGAGCCTTTGAACAGTTGATATTGTCGAGTGCGCAGCAGGTGCTAAGCGCTGTTCTACTCCTGTATGTATTAAATCCCACAGTTCTCCAGTAACTCTAGGTGGGAGATTCTAGTTTGAGACCCACTTTGCATTGAGGGCTGCAGCCATTTTGCACAGCTGGAAGCATCCCAGCTGGAATTTGAAACCAGGCCGCAGGGTTCCAAGACCTTGGGGTGCAGACCACTCTGTGTACCCATAGCGGCCAGATCCAGAAAGCCAAGTCCAAGGGAGGAAAGCCCGCGGCCACCGCCTCAGAGGCCTGAGGACAGGTCTGCCTGCCCTCCATGCACGCAAGCCAAGAGCATCTCAGGGACAAAGCCACGAGCTCGGCCCCTTACTGGTCAGGCTCCCCACCGTGCTGTCTTTTCTTCAGCTCAGGGTTTTCCTCAACCACTCAGAACTCCCTGATTATGTAGCATCTATGTAATGGCGGTGCAGGTGCATGGATAAATCAGCAGGGAGCTATACTACTGTGCAAAATAAAATAGTGGAGCAGAATGGAGAGGCAGGAAGACTGAGAGCTGGGAATTTTTGAGCAAGAAAAAATTGGGGTAGCAGATTCTGTGTCCGGTGAAGACTTAAGGGGCGCAAGTCTTGCAGAGAACAGGAGAGGAAGCAAGAGCGCAGTTTCCCTGCAGTCCGGACTCCCCGCCGCCTGGGCCTCGTCCCCGTGGCAGAGATTTGAATGGGGCCAGTAGTTTATTTTTGGCCACTGGGCACTGTTCTGCGTGTGACTTGGCATTGGCGCTGGGAAGGGCACGATGGTGGCCTTGTGTGGGGCGTGGGTGAGGGCCAGATTCCGCCCTGTGACCATAACTATGAGCTGGGTCCCTACTAGACATTGTTCTGGACCGGGCATCAGCAAGCTTTTCTGTGAAGGCCAGACAGGAAGTGTTCTCCGCTTTGGGGGCCAGCGGGTACCTGCACTGACACTCCGCTCCAGTGGCAGGAAGCAGCCACCCGCCAGCTGGTAGTGAATGGTGGCTGTGGGGTTTCAATATGCTGTTATTTTCAGCCCTCCCTGGCGGCGCAACTGGTTAGGATGCAGCACTGCAAGCCAGCCACAGCCGCTTCAGTGCATGTTCGATCCCCGCCCCAGAGGTGACCCACAGGGCGCGGCAGACCTCTCCTGACCCGCCCGCTGCTCCCCTCAGCAGTGGACTTCATTGAGCTGCCTTTTCTGCTCCCTACTCTGTCTCTGGTGAATCCTTTCACCACCCCTACACCTCTGGCCTGCACCCCAGTTCTGTATGCACAGATAAATGAATAAATCTTTTAAAAACGTTATTCCCACAATCAGGAATGGGAAGGTTTGGCCCAGTGCCATAGCTTACAGAACCCTGTTCTGAATGCTGAAAAAATCAGGGGAACACAGATAAGCCCAGCTCTCCAAAACGACAAGCGGGCAGCGGTGAACCTGGTCCTTCCAGTTAGATCCCGTCCAGCCTCTGCGCACTGTCCACCCCGGCTTCGGGCTCACTCAGACTTAAAGCAAAGTGCTGCCTGGCCTTGTTTGCCCTCTCTCCTGTCACCGCCACCCTACCCCTTGCTCACTTTGCTCCAGGCACCCTGGTCTCCTTAGTGCGTCGCAGAACCAGACTCGCCACGCCTCAGGACCTTTGCACGTGCCATCCTTGCTGCTGGCAGACTGCTCCCCTCGATCGTCACACAGCGCCCTCACCGCCTTCCAGTCTCTGCCTCCTCTGAAGCCTGCGCTGAGCGCCCTCTCCCCTGGCTGCCCGATACCCCTCACCTCTCTGTTTCTCCAGGTGCCACAGCTCTCACGTCCTTCAAACGCCAGTGATTCCCTGAATACATTTCTGGCATTTGTCTGACTCCCCCAGCTAGAAAGTCAGCTCTGCGCAGGTGGGCACCCGCGTCGCCTTGTCTCTGGTGCAGCCCAGTGTCTGCAGCAGAGGCTGGTACACAGGAGGGACCAGCATGTAATACTTGCGGGGGGACTGAGTGCCTGTGGTGGCAGACGCAGCCTGGACCCGTGAACACATAATCAGAGAGCCCGACGCAAGTCACCGTCGTGTTAGGAAGACAAGGAGGACACGCGGGGGTAACTAGGGTGTCCTTTTAAAAAGGGGGTCAGGGGAAAGTC